TAGGCACCCTAGGTTGGGAGGATCCCCTGGAAAAGGGCATGGCAACCCATTCCCTTATTCTTGCCTGGGAAATCCCATGGACAGATGAACCTGGCAGGCTACAGTCCATAGGGTCACAGAGTCAGGCACGACTGAGCATTCACACACTGACGTAGGAAACTGTTCATGATAAAATACCTTGCAAAATTCTATCTTTCTATCTTGCTTTAACAAGATGAAAGATTCATTACCTTTATGCAAGTATGTATGTATTCCAAATGTTAAAAGTCACCACCTCTAGAAATCGGATTAAGAGGAAATAAAGGAAGACTTTTACTTCTTACTTTACATATCTGTGTGTTCCTTGATTTCTGAATGAAAACATAACCTGCTTCTGTAATGAAATACATTGAATTCTCTCTAAAAAGAAAGGGATCTGCAAGTCTATTCATGAATCTTCTGTCAGGAAAGACTGAGCAGACCCTTCTCACCCAGGGAGATCTCACAGCTTCCCCTCTTACCAGGTTGTTGTGGCCCAACCTAGACTTTCCATTCCGGTCCCATTGACCTTCCTGCAGTTCCCTCAACCAGGACTAAGGGCCCCTGGTTTCTCTGTAGAACCCCAAGTTTACCATTTTCACTGCAGTTACCCTGAACGGTAAATTTAGTTTTTCTTTTATTTCTACATTGGAACCCACGGGGTGAGGGCTATGTTTTTCGCTTGGGTTGCCACTGTGCCTGGTACAGAGCTGGTACCTAATGAATGTGCCTTGAATGTGCCTTGAAAGAGGGAATGAATAAAACCGTATCATCACTGGAAGCTGAATACAGAGTAAGCCCATCTCTGAGCCCATCTGTTTATGCTGCTCCATCACAAACTCTGTCTATATAAAATGTAGGGCCCCAGACTTCCCTTGAAGGAAATGTCAACCCACTCCAGTATTATTACCTGGAGAACCCCAGGGACAGAGGAGCCTGGTGGGCTGCCGTCTATGGGGTCGTACATGACTGAAGCAACTTAGGAGCAGCAGCAGACTTCCCTGGTGGTCCAGTGGTTAAAAATCCACCTGCCAATGCAAGGGACATGGATTCGATCCCCAGTCCGGGAAGATCCCAGCCATGTCAACTAAGCCTGTGTGCCAACTACTAAGCCAGTACACTGCCAAAAATCAATCAATCAATCAATCAGTTTTAAAAATGTAGGGTTCCAGCTTCATGGATGAGTTCAGAAGGGTCGTGTGTTTAGTTTATGCCCGGCTGTCACTATCTTGAAATGCTTTATGCTTTTTGAATGAGGGACCTCGCATTTTCTCTTTGCACTGGCCTTTCAAATTAGATAGCTAATCCTGAAGCCATTTATGGACTCACTGAGATGGTGGGGTCTTGCGTCATATTGGGAATCTGTGAATTAGAAGGCCCAGAAGGCAGCAAGCTGACAGTGTGCATCACAATGTGTCCACCTCCCCACCTTGCTGTGGAACCTTTAGTCCTCGGCTTCACCCCTTGTGCCCAGAGTTCTAATCCCACCCCAGCAGCCCCTGCACTCTAGTGACTTCAGACACCATCCTAACCACGTCATTGTAGGAAAGGGTAAGGAAACCCATCCTGAGAGTAGTCCAGAATCTAAATTTTCACAGTCAGCACCAATAAAAAGTACCTCTTATTTTTTTCCATAGAATTTGTGAACAATGATGGTCTACTATCCCTTCTCACTTTTATGTGACTTTTCCTGAAAGACCCTGACTCAGAGGAGACAACATTTTCTTCTACATCCATGACATTTCCCTATTCCAGGTAGTTGAAACAAAGTTTCATCAACAAAGCTATACATCACTTCCTTACAATTTCTGAAGAAGGCTTCTTGATAACATTTATGTTTCATCACATTCTATGAATTTGAAAGAAGCAAATCAGAATCAAGACTGTGGTTGGGGTCTGGATCTTTCTTTCAGTTTGTTCTTGCTATTTTTTAATGAGAACCTCAGCCTACCAGGGCTTCCCTGGTGGCTCAGATGGGAAAGAATCTGCCTGCAATGCAGGAGACCCAGGTCCTATCCCTGGGTCAGGAAGATCCCCTGGAGGAGGGAAGGGCTACCCACTCCTATATTGTTGCCTGGAAAATCTCAAGGACAGAGAAGCCTGGTGGACTACAGTCCACGGGGTCTGAAAGAGTTGGACAAACACGGCTGAGCGACTAACACTTTCAGCCTACCATGAGCTCCTGGATTTTTTGGACTTTTTTTCTCTTGGAGGGTAAAGTCTCATGACTCTTTTGACATAGGATGACACACAGGATGCAGGCTTTCTTTTGGAATCTGTTTTTATTAAGATGGAGCAACAAGGGGGCAGCCCAGGAAAGAGTGAACTAAGAATAGAGCTTAAAGCCGAAGTGCAGGTTTTTCCCAGATTTCTATCTGGAGTTCTTTGAAGCTGATAGAATCGTTGCTTTCACTTCTCCCCTGGAATCTGGGGAGCAGGGGAACTAACAGTGACAGCAGAGTAGCTCCTTACGGGCTCTGAACACCAGGGGAAATGGCTTCTGGGCCTCAGGGTCTTTATGTGTAAAATGTGTTAACATAATACATCAGAACACTGAGCATTACTGCCAGGCGAGGCACTTCATGCTTCACATACACTTACTCCTTCATTCAAATATTTACTGAGCGCCTACTGTGTGCACTCACACTTGTAGACTCTAAGGATTTAAGAGGAAGCAAAGTACCTGCGCTTCAGGATCTTCCATTCAGTGAATCCACCCAACGACCTTCCTTTTTTCTTTTTTAATCACTTTTTATTTGTCTGCGCTGGGTCTTCGTTGCTTTGCGCGGGGTTTGTCTAGTTGCAGCGAGCAGAGGCTACCCTTCCCTGTGGTGCACAGGCTTCTCATTGCAGTGGTTTCTCTTGCTGTGAAGCACAGGCTCTAGGCACACAGGCCTCAGTAGTTGCAGTGCTTGGGCTCAGTAGTTGTGATGTGCAGGCTTCGTTGCTCCACGGCACGTGGGATCTTCCCAGATCAGGGATCGAACCCGTGTGCCCTGCATTGCAGGCCGATTCTTTACCAGTACTGCTAAGCCACCAATGGAGTCCCCAAAGACCTTCTGATGTCAGTGTTATTGTTACCCCTGTTTGACAGATGAGGAAGTTCAAGCTAAACGTGGTTAAATAAAATCCGCCCCCACCTCACACGTCTAGTAAGTGGCTAAGCTGGCATTTGAACTTAGATTCATCTACTTTGTACAACCCATGTTTTCCATCTCTGAGCTGTGCAGTGCCCCCTAAAAATGAGTTAATAGGAATAATATATATACATATGTGCATACTAAGTTGTGTCCAACTCTTTGTGACCCCATGGGCTGTGGCCCACCAAGCTTCTGTCCATGGGATTTCCCAAGCAACAATACTGGAGTGGGTTGCCATTTCCTTCTGCAGGGTCTTCATGACCCAGTGATGGAATCTGGGTCTCCTGCATTGGAGGCAGATTCTTTACCACTGCACTACCTGGGAAGGCCAGGGACAGCCTAGATGGGTATTTTGAGGCCAAAGAATGCAACACTGGTATTAGTTGCAGATTAAGGGCCTTAATGGGCTTCCCCAGTGGAAAAGAATCTGCCTGCAATGCACAAGCCACAGGAGGTACAGGTTCGATCCCTGGGTCAGGAAGATCTCCTGGAGGAGGGCATGGTAGCCCACTCCAGTATTCTTGCCTAGAGAATCCCCATGAACAGAGAAGCCAGGTGAGTCCATAGGATCACAAATAGTCGGACACAACTGAAGCGACTTAGCACTCATGCAAGGGTCTTAATTGCAGAGAATCCCCTGGGAATTTGAGAACGTGTAAAGAGAGGAGCCAAGAACGCTTTCACTGCTTTGTGACTTGAGAATGGAGCTAAGATCAGCTTGGCATCTCTCCCCCTAATCCAGGGCAGAAGCAGCATGTCATTTCATACAATCATCTCATTCTGAGGACCCCATGGACATATTTGAAAATTCATGTACACAAGGCCTACTACCTTTTCCACTCTTTGGTGTTTGTATAGAATCCTACAATAAAAGGAAAACACCAGCGTCTGTAGAGAACAGGTCTAGAAACTATAGTTATCATAACGGTGAAGGTCATTAACTTCTCTGCTTGCCCCCTCCCCAGCCAAACACACAAGCTGACTAAGGACCCTCCGGGTCAAAGGGACACTAGCAAAGTACCTGGCACGGAACATTAATTCAGTAAATACGCAGAAAACGAATGGTTGAATAATTTAAACTCATAGTCACATTACAAGCAATTTTGCTGGACTTAGCACTTCCCAAAGGTTAATAGGACTTTTTCAAGTACTCAGCTTCCACTGGAAAAATCAGGACAAGTAAACATATCCTTGAGTACCTTCTTTGAAATGCAAATACTTGCAGAAAAACGTGGAGTTCCGAAAAGGTGGCAGCATATTGTTTTTGCTGTCATTCTTCTTGGGCTCCTGAGTAGTCAGAAAAGTAGAGAGGGGCCCTGGGAATATGAAAATCTTTGGGGTCAAGACATCCCACTCTAAAGAGCCTCCCTCTACCTGAAATAAAAATATTGACTTACCCCAGTTTCTATTTTCCAAGAAAAGTAAGGATATAAGATCAGAGGATGGGTCATTAATTTCACTGACTCCCCAGGGAGAGAACACGACAGAATGACAGATTTAAACATTAGTACATATTACCTGAGCCATTTAAAATTACTCAGGGGCCAAGCTCTTCCCAACACACACACACACACACACACACACACACACACACACACACATGCCTCTGTCATTAGAATCACATTATATAAATGCAACTGACTCACTTCTCAAGTGGAACCTTCCAAAAAGGCATAGTGATCCGAATTTTGTATCCAACAGAGTGAGGAGAGTACAGTTAAGAAAGAATGGCATTTTCAAGTCTCCCCACCCCTCAGCATGGAGTATTTCTAAGTCACTGATCCAGCCTCCTTGATTTTGTCTGTCTGTCTGTCCCGGTGCCATCTGTCACATTCGAAGATCTCACTGCACCTCAGACTGGCTTTGGGAGCTATTTGCCACACTGATGCAACTGTTGCAACAAAGGTTGGAAGTGGGCCTCCCCTCTGGCCTCTTGAAGCATCCTGGACACCTAGGTCTCAAAGTGCAGATTTTGAGTTTGGTGTAGAATTTGGGGTATGAGGGACTTGAAAAATAATACACCAGGGGATCCAGCATGCTGTTTATGTAGGTGAAGCTGAGGGTGACGTGGAGGGCCACATGGACGGATGGGTTGCAGGCGCTGGAAGGCACTGTCCAGAGGAAATACAGTCTGGCCAACGCGCTGGGCAGGTAGCAGGCAATAAACACCACTGCCACCATCATGATGAAACGAATAGGCTTCTTCATCCGACTCTGCCTGGCCAGATGCTGCCTCTGCTTGAGGCTCCAAATGATCTTGAAGGAGCAGAACAAGATGATGCCAAGGGGCAGAAAGAACTCCAGCTGGAACATGACATCATGCCAGCCATTGGCCGACACCATGATGAAGCTTTCACAAGCTATGACCTTCTCTTGCACACACAGATGATTCTCCATCAGAAGATACAGAGTCCCCAGGATGACCAGGGTCCAAAGGGCACAGACGATGCCAACTGCAGTCCAGTTGGAGATGGTGTTTATCATATGGTGGGGGTGGACCACTTTAAAATACCGGTCCACAGCCACCACTGTGAGGAAGACAATGCTCCCGGCCCTGTTCATGGCCAGCATGAAGAGGGCCACTCGACAAGCAATATCCTCAAACGCCCATTGCCTCTGTCTGAGGTAGTAGTCTGTCCGAAAGGGCAGGCAGATCATCAGAAGGAAGTCAGCCATGGCCAAGTTGAACAGGTAAATAGTGCTCGGCTTCCAGGACTTCATGTGAAAGCAGAAACCACAGAGGGCGATGCCGTTGCCCAGGATGCCAAGCACAAAGGCGAGGATTAGCAGTGGCGGCATCACCTCGGGCATGTGGTACCCCTGGATGAGGCAGCACGACCTGTTGGCCATGGTGACCAGAGGACCAGTGCTCCGTGTGCCGGGCCGTGCCGTTTCCAACTTCTTCACCGTGGGAGGCAGGTACAGCACGTATACATGGATGCAGGCGCCCCACGGAGAACAGAAACTTCAGCCAGGAAATGCAACACTGCAGTGGAGGCTGGATCACAAGCGGTCCATCTCCAACCCACACCCCCAACCTCCTGGCCCAAGAGCCGAAGCCTGTAGCACCCCAGGGCCTGGAAACACAGGTGACTTCACCAAGTTGTCATTTCTGGGAAGCAGCTGGCTGATCCGAGGAAATTCACGCCGGAGAGGAGTTGTTGGGACCTGCCCCAGAATGGATTTTTCTTTCCAGCCTCTCTCTTTCTCTTCGGATTCTCTCCAAGCTGGAGCATTAAGCGAAGCTACTCAGAAGGCACGAAAAAAAAAAAAGCTTGTTTGTCCTCCCTCCCCGGTGGAGAAACACAAACATTTCCTGGAGCTGTTCTGGGTCTCTCCTCCCTAACCTTTGCCTGACTGCCCCAACCTCACCCTCATCCCATGGGGGCTCTCCCAGGCGGTGCCAGAGAGGGCAAGCTTAGCTCTGCCGCTCCTCAGGGCTACTTCCTGTGCCCAGACCCAAAAATACAGCACTTCAAAATCAGAAGGATCTACGGAGGGGGAAAAAAAATCCCTAAAATAGCACTTGTTTGGCTGTTCAAAAAATTCTCTGGAGTCGCCCTCCCTCTCCTTCACTGGCACCTCCCCTGGGCATCCTTCCTTGGACCCAGTGACCAGCTGCACCACCACCGAGACCATGAAATGAATCTGAAGCCACTTCTCATGTCCATCTTCATGAAACAGCCTCTCTGGGAGCTGGGTTCTCTGCTGTTAGCAAAAGAGGATTTGGCTCCGAGTTTCCCAAATCCGCCTGCTCAAGAGTGGAGTGCCACAATCTGTATGTTTTTCATTTTAATTATGTGCTCAGCCCAGGGGTGGTGGAGTTTATCTCCAAAACGGTCATGGGTAAAATTAGTCTGCTCCCAAGATCTGTGCGTGCTAAGTCGCTTCAGTCATGTTCTACTGTTTGCAACCCCATGAACTGTAGCCCACCAGGCTCCTCTGTCTCTGGGATTTCTCCAGGCAAGAATACTGGAGTAGGTTGCCATGCCCTCCTCTAGGGGATCTTCCCAACCCAGGGATTGAATCTGGGTCTCCTGCTTTGGCAGGTGGGTTCATAAACTTTCCTGTCCTTTGGCTTTAGAGATCATCTGTCCACCCTTCAGCTTTCAGTTTAGGGAAGGGTGAGGGGAGAGAGTGTATAGGAAGGATACATGTGGGGCCCTCCTGGGTGGTCTAGTGGTTAAAACTCCAAACTTCCACTGCAAGGGGCCCAGGTTCGATCCCTGGTCAGTAAACTAAAATCCCATATGCCATAAGGTGTGGCCAAACACACACATACACACAAACACACCCACCCCTGGATTTTCAGCCTCTCCAGGAAACTGGAAGATCTGTCCACGCTGGGCCAACCATCCCACCTGATAACAATATGCTGGACGTGAGAATAGCTTTGCCCTTAAGACACAGCAGGAATTCTCCATTTTGCCTCCGCCCCCACTTACCTGGTCAGCTTCACTCATCGACATGCCTGGTCTCTGTGGGATTCTGAGTTTGTCACTTCTGCTCTAGGTTTGTCAGTTCTGTCCTTCCCAGGTGGTGCAGTGGTAAAGAATCCACCTCCCAATACAGGAGACGCAGGATTGATCCCTAGGTCGGGAAGATTCGCTGGAGGAGGAAATGGCAAGCCACTCCAATATTCCTGCCTGGAGAATCCTATGGACAAAGGAGCCTGGAGGGCACAGTCCATGGGGTCGTAAAGAGTCAGACACGACTGAAGCGACTTAGCACGCATGCACACTCCAGGTTAAAAGTCACATTCCCTGGATTGGTCTACAAGGCCCTTCACAGATGATTCCCAAACCAGTTTTCCAAGATCATTCTCTTCTCACTTTCCTCCCTGCACCCTACTTGTTAGTCTCCGAACTTCTAATAAATAAGTGTATCCACCAAACAGCTACACTTAGCTACCTCACTAACCTCACTAATCAACAGGTCCTTGAACGTAAAGTCCATGTTCTTGGAAGGAAGGGCCTACAAGAATGATCTGATGATTAGCTCCTACTTTTTCATGAGAGCACATATCTGCCAGTTTCACTCTGTGGATCTTTGTGATTCTTTTATTTTTTTAACCATGCCTCACGGCAAGTGGGATCTTAGTTCCCCAACCAGAGATTGAACCTAGGCTCCCTGCATTAGAACACGTGGAGTCTTAATCACTGAACCACCAGGCAAGTTCCTACTTTGTGATTCTATAAGAAGCTAACTGGCAGGGGGAATCTATGAAGGCTGGAATGCCCCAAGGTGAGGCCTGGGTAGGTGAACCTGAGCACCTTGATATAGTCAGGCTGGATTTTTCAACAAATGGAAAAGACTCTCCCTTCTGTGTTAGCAGAGATCATCGAGATTCTCATAAGTACGAAGATGACTGTTTCCCTTTTCCCAAATGACTAATACTTGCCTTCCTTTTCAAAAAAATAATTTTATTGATTTATTTGGTTTTTGGCTATGCTGGGTCTTTGTGGCTGCACACAGGTTTTCTCTCATTGTGGTGGCTTCTCTTGTTGAGGAGCTCTAGTAGTTGTAGCTTGTGGGCTCAGAAGTGGCAGTTCCCAGGCTCTAGAGCACAGACTCAGTGTTGTGGGCTTGTGTGTGACACATGTGTGACTCATGGGCTTAGTTGCTCCAAAGCTTGTGAGAAACTTCCTGTATCCGGGATCAAACCCGTGTCTCCTGTATTGGCAGGCAGATTCTTTACCACTGAGCCACCAGGAAAGCCCTAACACTTATCCTTTTCCACATCCTTTCAGTTCAGCTAAGTTGTGTCAGACTCTTTGCAACCCCGTGGACTGCCGCACGCCAGGCCTCCCTGTGCATCACCAACTCCTGGAGTTTACTCAAACTCATGTCCATTGAGTTGGGGATGCCATCCAACCATCTCATCCTCTGTCGTCCCCTTCTCCTCCCACCTTCAATCTTTCCCAGCATCAAAATCTTTTAATGAGTCATTTCTTCGCATCACGTGGCCAAAGTATTGGAATTTCAGCTTCAGCATCATTCCTCCCAATGAATATTCAGGACTGATTTCCTTTAGGATGGACTGGTTGGATCTCCTTGCAGTCCAAGGGACTCTCAAGAGTCTTCTCCAATACCACAGTTCAAAAGCTTCAATTCTTTGGCCCTCAGCTTTCTTTATAGTCCAGTTCTCACATCCATACATGACCACTGGAAAAACCATAGCTTTGACTAGATGGACTTTTGTTGGCAAAGTAATGTCTCTGCTTTTTAATATGCTGTCTAGGTTGGTCATAACTTTCCTTCCAAGGAACAAGTGTCTTTTGATTTCATGACTGCAATCACCATCTGCAGTGATTTTGAAGTTCCCCCCCCAAATAAAGTCTGTCACTGTTTCCATTGTTTCTCCATCTATTTGATGTGAAGTGATGGGACTGGATGCCATGATCTTCATTTTCTGAATGTTGAGTTTTAAGCCAACTTTTTCACTCTCCTCTTTCACTTTCATCAAGAGGCTCTTTAGTTCTTCTTCACTTTCTGCCGTAAGGGTGATGTCATCTGCATATCTGAGGTTATTGATATTTCTCCTGGCAATCTTGATTCCAGCTTGTGCTTCATCCAGTCCAGCATTTCTCATGATGTACTCTACATATAAGTTAAATAAGCAGGGTGACAATATACAGCCTTCACGTATTCCTTTCCTGATTTGGAACCAGTTTGTCATTCCGTGTCCAGTTCTAACTGTTGCTTCCTGACCTGCATATGGATTTCTCAAGAGGCGGGTCAGGTGGTCTGGTATTCCCATCTCTTAAACAATTTTCCACAGTTTGTTGTGATCCACACAGTCAAAGGCTTTGGCATAGTTAATAAAGCAGAAGTACATGTTTTTCTGGGACTCTCTTGCTTTTTGATGATCCCACGGATGTTGGCAATTTGACCTCTGGTTCCTCTGCCTTTTCTAAATCCAGCTTGAACATCTTGAAGTTCCCGGTTCACGTACTGTTGAAGCCTGGCTTGGAGAATTTTGGGCATTACTTTGCTAGTGTGTGAGATAAGTGTTGTTGTGTGGTAGTTTGAGCATTCTTTGGCATTGCCTTTCTTTGGGATTGGAATGAAAATGGACCGTTTCCAGTCCTGTGGCCACTGCTGAGTTTTCCAAATTTGCTGGCATATTGAGTACAGCACTTTCACAGCATCATCTTTTTGGATTTGAAATAGTTCAGCTGGAATTCCATCACCTCCACTAGCTTTGTTCATAGTGATGCTTCCTAAGGCCACTTGACTTCGCATTCCAGGATGTCTGGCTCTAGGTGAGTGGTCACACCATCATGATTATCTGGGTTGTGAAGATCTTTTTTGTACAGTTCTTCTGTGTATTCTTGCCACCTCTTCTTAATATCTTCTGCTTCTGTTAGGTACATACTATTTCTGTCCTTTATTGTGCCCATCTTTGCATGAAATGTTCTCTTTGTATCTCTAATTTTCTTGAAGAGATCTCTAGTCTTTCCCATTCTATTGTTTTCCTCTATTTCTTTGCATTGATCACTGAGGAAGGCTTTCTTATCTCTCCTGGCTATTCTTTGGAACTCTTCATTCAGATGGGTATATCTTTCCTTTACTTCTTTGCTTTTTGCTTCTCTTTTCACAGCTATTTTATCCACATCTTTTCTGTCTTGTCAAATCACCTTCCGCTCCCTCTCTCTTGCTCTCTCTAGATTTAACAGAGGATTAAGAAAGAAAAGATAGGCTTCTAGTTTTCTGAAAATCTATTGCTGATAATAGGGGCGGCTGTGCACATGTGAGGAGGGGAAGTTTGTAGGGAATGTCCGTTTCTTCCCCTCAACTTTCCTGTGAACTTAAAACTGCTCTTTAAAAAGTCTTAAAATTTTAATTTA